ACCCCCCCCCCCCCCCCCCCCCCCCACACACACACTGTTGACCGAGGGCCAAGCCGTCGGGAACGGACAGGTGTTTGCGCCTGGTAGAACACACACTTACGCACACAGTGCGGTCTGGGAACAGCTTTTCAAGCAATACTGCTTCAGTCAGATAAGAAATCGGGGTTGATATGGATGTCTGAATGTCAGATATATGGCGAAAGGTAGGTGATTGTAGAGTGCTCAGTCAAATCTAATCCATGTGTTCGATGTGTAGATGTATGTGGGTGGGTGGCTTGCGGTGACTCATGTAGAATACAGGTACCCGTGCAAAAATTGCGGACAATAAAATAAAATATATATTATGAGCATACTTGCGTTTTGAGCAGCAAGTCTATTGGAAATTTCAGAAAATCAATTCGGAAACAAGCAGGACCCGGAAGAGTTGGTAATGTATAGATAACTTGTTAGGATAGAGCTTAAGTAACCCGTCCGATCGCGCACGCCTCCGATTTAGGTCACACGCACGCTGGCAATACTCTAGGCAGGCTGAACCTGATTGGATGGTCACAGAAAGAGCTAGCCAATGTTTGTCCGATCGATCGATCGATCGATATTTCAAGGCTACAATCTGATTGGTGCGTCACTGCTCCGTTCTCGTATGCGTGATTTGTTCTATATACTTGCGAATCGAAATCTAATTAGAAAAAAGTAATACACACTGACTGCTGTCTCCAGCTGTATCATCTATCCGCGTTATTGTTGGGGTTAAGCAAAAGTCGCTCTTGTCATTCCTACGTCTAGACCGACCACAACATAAGCCATAGCAGAAGGTGGCCTACATCAGTCTGATAATGTTGTGGCGAACCAATACGCACAGAATTTCTTGTTGCTTTCATTTTGGTCATTTTTACTTCCTTTTATTGAAATATACAATGATACAATTTTCAGGAAGGGGGAAGCGGCCACTCAAGTGGCTGCCATACAACATGCAGATGAAGGAGTCAGACGGTGGTGGTGGTGGTGAGATTCGACCACTCGTGCTCCGAGATGATAATTTGGTGACTTTATCACCGGGTCACCACCGCCCGATAGAGTGAACTGATTCTGGGAATCGATTGTGCTCGATCACAGTGTTGTATTATTTATTCTCATTTTATGACGGAAGATGTTTACCTAATTAGAAGTGATATCTTGTTGCGGTTTTTTTCTGCCAAGGAAATAATTCCGGTGTGTTCTTTAAGGTGCTGTTATGTCTAAATCGTCGATCTTTCGGTTCTAACCCAAGCATACATCCAACAGTATGCTGACAAGCACGTTTTATGTCGGGTGATTTCCTCTTCTTCGAACTTTGATTCATTCATAGGAAGATCTATCTCATATCCAACAGTTTTCAAATCAATCTGCCTAATACATCCAAGTGCCTAGAGTGCATGTTCACTTCTTCTCGCTCTTTAGTTCCGATAAATTCTACCGCCCGTAACTGTACCCCTGTATTTGGACTGACCTCTATCAAGTAACTGGGTGTCTCTATCAACAGTATTCTTCATTAGTCTACACACATTTACAATTGTTCGGGGAAACTGAGAAGCCTCTCGCTTCCGCTTCCTTTGTTGCATTACCCACTTTAATGTGATGAACTGCAAATAGCTCGATGCCATAGTCACGAAGACCTGTTGTTCATTATCAGAAACCGGTAACCTAAGGCCCAACTAGGTTAGGTGTAGTATTGAACCGGACGACAGTAAAGTTGTTTACACCAACAAAGTTGCGTGGTGGTGATAGCGGAGTTCTAATCTCGAACTATAGAGTACAAAGCACGCCGGTGGCAGTGACTAAACAACTGCGTCAGCACCACTCACTACGCAAAACTAAAACTCCAAATATCTTTGGAGGGAAGATGTGAAACAATTCGGTCTGCTCCAGTGTAAAAAAGACCGAATCATGAGTATGGTAATCAAATCGCAGCAAACGGTCGTAATTGACCGAAAGGTTTAAAGGGATGAAAACAGCCAATCGAATCCTTCAAACAGAACCATATAAGCGCAGTCACACTGAGGACTGGCGATTCCCCGAAGCGGATAAGATGATATTACCTAGCGTGGCTACGAAACGTCTGAGAACAGCACTTCCAGCTTCCAGACAGTACACCAAAACGAACATGACATAACTATTCATTGATCACGAACCCAATTGTAAGTACAACGTTTGATATTTCATGTGTACATGAACCTACGTATGCAATCGGTTCGTCCTCATCCTGGATAGTGAGATTCTCTCTGGTCTGATACAAAATGTCATCCCTTGATGCCTTATATACTGTGGTTTTGATCGGTGTGCCAGGACGGTCGCCACCGCCTCGAGATGGTGTGTTCCGTTCTTTCCGTGATTGTTTAGTTGGAGTTTGTGGTTTTCGTCTTGCTGTGGCCCAGGACTGACTTCGATTACTCAGAGTCCATAGATCCCGTGGTAGACCAAACGATCCGCTGGAGGAGTCCACACTAGAGTACTGAGTTGGGATTGTTGAAAGAAATGGGAGATAATATTCAAAGGAATTTACTGACACTCGTTTACGAGTACATTCAACATGAATAAATGTAGATGGCGATCCGTACAGAAGACATTTTAAGCATTTGATCAGTATTTAATTCTAATCATCTATGTGTTTCTCAGTTGCATTCTGCACCACCACATAAAACGTTTTTCTTAATCGATTTTTTAAGTCATCCATTAAATTATCGAGCATCTCGCGTTCCCTGCTCGTATCTTGGTATACTTTTGCCTCATTTCGTTTATTATTCTCATGATAATACTAGGAAATTCAAGCACAAGTACATTCCCCAAAGTATTTACACTGTATCGTGGTGAACACCATGAAGATCAGTAACAATTTTTGTTTATACTCAAAGCTTAGAAATTAATTTGGTTGTATGGCGTCCCGACAAAGTGATGCAGTCTGTTGTCATCAGGCAGTCAGCATCATATTAGCTTTCAAGGTCGATCACTTAATGAACGATGTGCGTCAAAATTTAAAGTCACCTTTGAACCGCACATTCCCAGCTGCTTAACGCACTGCAGACCAGTTGATCTGCGGTTGCAATGACACATACGTAGTAGGCAGAACCAACCACAGATTATCACAACAAATGGGGAAGTGGATGACCCGCGCTCGGAAGTCAGCCGGTCACGCGGAACCCGGGGACATCAAGCACGAAACGCCTCATGACAACCAAACATATAACTGACCCCCCTTCCTCTTTCAAAACCCTGATTACATAACATATATATATATATGCGTGTGCTTATTTGTTTTACGTCAGCAATTGAGAAGATTAAACGAAAAGCTAACATCTTCTTCCGGTTTAATGATACAAAGGATGAAGGAGACCCAGTGTTTTTTTATTATGATGAAACGTACGAACTGGAAAAATCACTCACCCCAAGCTGATTGCTTAAATGCGTGTAGGATTGGGATCGTTGTTTATCGATCGGTTTGGGTGAAATTTTTACGGGGGAAAAACTACGCACACTTTTCTTCTTCAACGCGGTTTTCAACCGGGCGTGTTTTGTGAGTAAGTGTAGACAGAAATGCAATCGTTGTACCCGGGCATAAGTCAGTGCCGAGTGGCCGCATTCGTCGTCGATTTCCGGATTGGCTACATTACAACGATAAACAACGACATGAAGGGATTGGAGGAGAGGCGGGTTGAGAGGGGTAGGATGGTGAAGAGGTAAATGCATTGTCAGAACATTTTCCCGTTACGATCTTGATGATTATTTAGTCAGATTTAGTCAGGAAACAGATTTGAGAAGCATGAAACAGGTGAGTCATTAACAAATGAAAAAAACGAAGAGAAAAAGAGTCACTGTTTCCGGTTTACAGTAGGTCATCTTTTGGATGTGTTTTAGGTGAAAAATGGAGAAACGTTTTCTTATAAAGGTACGATTGCGTTAAATATTTCTAAGAATACGACTGAACGAAAACAATTTGTGTGATGCAAAGTGGTTTAATGAGCGAAACTAAAATGTCACGGTCTGTAAGATTTCTTTTTGTTAAGTTAAAACAAGTATGCATACGGTAATCAAACATTTTATCAGTGGTGGTGGTGGCAATGGTAGTAAAAGTAGTTTTGTTATCGTTTCATAAGGCGGTGACTGGACGAGAATATTCTTTATAATAGATAACTATCAGGTTATCGGTAATTTGGCGTACATACAACAAAATTTCCCATCGGAAACGAATCTTCAGAACAGCCCACAGTAGATGCGCATTCTTGAAGGTACCATAATGAACACAGCAATTCGCTCCAACAAGTCTTGTTCATTTTGGCCGTTGAAAGAAACCGCCAATCGCATCCTTTCGCGTACTACTCACAAATATGAGTAGCAACTCATAACAATAGTAGTAGTAGCAGTAGTAGTACGAGCATCGATCCATCCAAAGATGACATCAACCAGTCAGAGTCCGGCCTTCCGCGCCTAAAGCGATGACATAGTAACTCAGGAGAAAATCTGTACATAATGTTTTCTGTTCTGCTCAATTTTGACTTGAAATTGTTTTTTTTCAATTTTTTTGTTAGTTTACGATAACTTAGTTGCGCGTTGAGCGTTTATTCCCTTCATTTGAATGAGTCTTAACATTACAGTGAGCTGATGAGAAAATTAGCATTTCAGTTTCCAGTTACTTCCAAGTAGTATATATATAAATTGAAAAATCCGTATGAGTACACAACTCAAATTTTTCCGGATTCGTGTGTGACGAAAGTATGGAAATGACAGGCCCAAAAGCACAGTACACGTGTAGACGAATTAAATGAAAAACCATCTAATTACTCATACTCCTCACCGGTTTTTACTCACCTTGGTACGCCAACAAGAGTTGGACAACATCCCCGTGGCCGCATGCTGTGGCCAAATGCAAAGCGGTACGTTTATGATCGTCCAACAAGTTGACCAGCCCGGAGTCGGATTGCTCCAAAATCATTTTACATGCGGTCAATTTCCCTGTCACGAGAGGGGTAAAGAAGAATTGTGATCATTGTTTGTAGTTAACCTATCCCATAGAAAATACGTCATGTCCACCTCCAATTACTGTTATTAATACTACATATTAGCTGTCAGTCAATTTTGGATTGACTATAACATAACCTACGTTTCAGTTTTTACAACCATGAAGTCATGCATTTTTGTGCACCGGTTTTGGTTACTGTCTCACGTAACTGCTCATTTTGTTGACAGGTTAAAGGGGAAATGGGCATGTTCGAATCAGCGTTAAAGTGAAAACGGAGAATACATGAAGGCTATTAGGTTGCATGGATAATAAATAAAGACATGAACGTCACTGTTTGTGACACTCAGTATCTCTAACCATTGGTTAAAATTATCCGGTTATCCCCGTCCCGGTAGCCTAACGCGACTTATGTGAACAAGTCTTCTGGTCAAGTTTTTCATACCCTCGTGCCAATTGTTCGTTTGACTACTCTTGACTTTTTCCCACCTACAACCTGCTTCGGTAGATATCGCGCACCGTGGCAAGTTATTTGGTGACATACGTAACACTCCCTGACCAGCGCAGTCTACGGAGATCAACCACTTGTACCAACCAGTGAATCATCGCTAATACCTAAATCTCTGTGTCCAACCCGTCAGCATTGATCGTCCGGTTTTCCTCCACCAGACTCGTGCAATACGACCCAGATAGCGTTGCTCGAAGACCGACAGTCAAAAATGATCGTAAAACTGTCAACCTCTCCATTTAACGATTTTGCACTGACGTTAATGATTCGTGACTACCTACCTCATATCGATCGTCTTAGATCAGTAATTTCCACAAAACCGAACGCTTTCATCCCTGTGGTCTTTCTGGTGTCATTTATTCATAAGTGAATATTGAAAGTGAACCGTTCGGGCTCAATGGACTGTAGAGATTCGGTTGAAAAAGGACGGACGCACCGTTTCACTTACCGAGTAGAGCAGCGTGGTGCAAAATTGTCCGTCCGAGTTTGTCCACACTGGTCGCGCCATAATGTTGAATGATGTACTGAAACAAGAATGAATAAATCATGGCATCAATTATTGTAAACGGAACCAGTCTCTAGTTCACATCGTTCTATTATCTGCAGTGTTAATCTATCGAACTAACTGTAGACCGCAAACTCGGAGCCTCATCACTGGCAGAACCCCAGCATGCTAAAACACTTGGTCACCGTGCGGCAACGGATCAAACAGCTTCCCATTTTCCATTTACACGATATGGCACAACCTATATTTGTGAGCTCGTTGCGGGTATCGTTGCTCGCTCATCTCATCACTAACCTCCCCGGGGGTTATGACTCGGTCGAAAACTTTCACAACCCTATTACTTCCTTCTGTTGAAAAAAATGATGATACAATTTTCAGGAAGGGTAAAGCGGCAAACCAGAGGGCTGTCGTACAACACAAATAGATATTGGGGCACGTCAGGCCGTGGTTGCGGTGGGATTCGAACCGAAATCCTCCGGATTGATAATTTGGTGAAGTTACCCATCGGACCACGGCTGCCCACACTTTGTGCTGTGCTGTGCTGTGGCGGTTTTAGTTGTTGTTGTTGTTGCCTTTTCTGGCTACCTGTTTTGTCTTCTCCGTATCACTCGAAATTCACGTGACTTGATATTGATTTCTAGACTAATTGTGGACGCCGTGGAGAGACTGGATAAGGAAAAGGTCTGTTTTTTCCTCAGTTAGCCATTCTCAAACTGGGGCAAATCAAAAGAACGGTAACAAACAGGTACTGCAGTTTCTGTTCTATGAATGTGTTCATCAGAACACACGAGTGTAGGCATATTATTCGACTACCAACCCGGTAGATCAGAGAGAGAGAGGATTTCAGCTCTCAACTCATAGGTTCCTGGGAATAAAAAGTACGCAGAGCTGATTAGTCCGAAACAGGGCGAAGCAGTTGTTCAGTGCTGTTTGTCGGTTATCATACATATATCGCTGGCACACAGTGATTGCATCTGAAATATCAGGTCCGATTACGTAACCCAAATGGGATGTGATTAGTTTGGCCGACTTGAACTGACTGCGCCTAATCTATGCGTCATTTGATGCAATCCGAATGGTTTGAGGTTGAACACAAGGCCTTTTGCTATGGTTTCGTTTAGTTCAGTAATTCTACTGGAACTGGAATTCGGTCAATAAGCAGGTATAACCTTCAGACATCCGCGGTATTCAGTGTTAAGGAGATGTTCTAAACTGGAATTTCCGATTGTTTTTTTTGTAATTTTCGTTTGATCCTGTTATTCAACTGTCCACGAGCAACAGCCCCATAGCAACAGGTCTGAGGATAGATGCAGACTAATGTGGTTTGGGGTGCTGTGAAGCCGGGGAAAGGAAAAGTAGTGAAATGTTTGACCAAAATCAGGCGGAATCAATCCCCAATTTGTCGTGCTCGCAGGGACCATGTAGCACTTACCACTTAAAAGCCTTGTCAATATAGTATTGATGTTTCAACAGATTATATATATATATATATTGCCATCGTATTTACTAAGATTTTCGTCCGGACGAAGGAGAAAGTTGTTCGTTTCAAGTACTGACCTCGATTAGTGTGTTTCACATCAGCGCTGCATGGCCCAGTGTTCGTGTATCGTTCCGAACTAATTTAGTGTACTTCGACATGGACTGGTGATCTCCTTGCTGACGTACGGTTTTTTGATAGGAAATAAAAAGCTATTTATAAATTATTTTACTAGTTTCATTTTGATTGGCTTAAGGAAGAAATTCTAGTCTGGTGCAACATGCTTTAACTGACTGGTGCAATATAACGTGTTCTGTGATGATGGATGTCCACTTGGGACAAGGGCAAGGTGCAGAAAATGTGATTTCATGTACAACTGACTTCTGCACTTTCAGTTTGGGACCATCCGTGGCTCGCCGGATTTGCATCAATATCATTTCCTAACAATCCACAAATGGTTCGAGAGAGAGCCTCCAACAGCCTGTTTACTTCGGTGTTAGGATGGAACGCATAGAACCCCTTAAGTCGCGCACGGATTTGCTTCACATCACAAGTGCGGTCGCGGCGCTCAAGGCGAGACGATTCCGGATCCGATGACTACAGAACGCAGCAGAAAACTGTATTCTGATCGACCAATCGGAGTGTCAAGGACGCGATCTGATTGGTGCGTCACCATGTCGTCCTCATACGCCCGTATTGTTGTTCAGGTATAAGCTTGGGCGCTCGTATCGGTCGCACGTCTTGACAGAACGTAACACTATGCTACTAAGATATTTTTTCACCATCTATCATTGAATAATTTGATGCACCGATTAATCCCATTACATATCATATTGCGATATGCTCACGAAATGGGTGAATTTCATAAAATCCTGATGGCGTTATGAGTTTTTGCGCAGCAACCAATTTTTTCTATCGTTTTTCGCGTGTATTAGCCGACTGGGTTAGGTTCACAATGGAGCCATCAATGTGTTAACTGTCAGGAAAAGTGAATGGTATACCACAATTCGTACTAAGGGTGGATTTTTCTGGTCGGAGAACTTTTTCCAAAGTTCAAAAGGATCACTACAAAAATGATGATATCCTGGAATCAGTCTTGGATCACCCGCAATTGACTGTCCAAAGATTTCGAATGGTTATTGAATCCCTCAAAGACCAGTCACTGGGATGGACAGAATAATTCGTTCTATTCGAAGAGCACTGTAAGTGTCCATCGGGACTTTGCTTGTGACTGATGAAGTTCACACCACATTGATGGCGCGAATCGAACCTGCTCCTAATAATCAGCTGCTAGTACGACATAAGGTTGCTTAAACCGAAATGTTCTGCGATACCATCCGAGAAGCGTTGTACCGAAATGCGATCAAATAAATTCTGGAGAAGAACCATCCAACTGTGAACCGAACACATGAATCAAGCGTTTTTCGTTCCACCTTAAACACAATTCAAAAATGGAAGAAAAAATGACGTGAGCCGGAGATCGACGGATCCTAATAGACAGTAAGATCCAACGACGGTTTTGAATCAACGCTACTCTCGAACTGAATCGATAGGGTCCTAGATGTTAATCATTAAGAAATTCACAATATCCGTACGTGTATATCACTCAGCGGACCATACATCACCTTGAAGGGCAACTCCACACCTAATAGCACACTGACGTAATACTGAGGCATGAAAACAAAACTTGAAACTGTGATGTAGATCGGAATCGTCGAAACACGCTAGATTCGTCCAATGTCCAAGTCCATGTCAAAGTGTGCATGTGTGTCAATGAACTTACTTCAAAACTACCGATACCCTGTTTCGAATGGAGTGCATAGTGAATTGGTGTCCATCCATTCCGATCTGGGGCATACATCCACGAGACTTGATTGATCGATTTCACGTGCTTTTGCAAGACAAGAAGAAAAAAAAAAGAATGCAAAAGCAGATCCGGTTAATACTTAACAGATAATGACAATGAGTTGGAATAAACTCTGTCTATTCGTCGTTAAACCCATTAACTTAAAGCTTTGGATCCCCTTTGTCCATTTCGATGATGATTGTGAGATGTTAACATTTTGTTCAATCTTCTCAATCGCTTAATTAAAACAAGTAGGCATATATCCAGCACATGGGATTGATCAATTATGGTGAACGAACATGCATACAAGTATAGAAGGATTACTAAATTTAGAAGTGGACGATCAACTCCACAGTAAACGGTTTGAAAGACGAATTGGGGTCAACTGTGAGTTTTGTTGTCATGACACGTTTTGTAACAGAACAGATGACCCTGGATTTTTTTTTGTAATCACTTGACCATCACCATTGTTGGTTGCGTCATCAATTTCACCAATAACTTTAACGTAATCGTAATGCTAAACTCTTGGCAATTAGTGAAGCGCTGCTTGTTCGGTTACATCACGCGACATTATGCGTACAAACGATTTTGATGCAATCACTCCACTTACCGTGGAGTTGACCTTCTGCTTCTATGTTTACTGATCTTTGCATGCGTGTACACGTTCATTCACCATAACTGAATAGCCCCATGTGCTACAAACGGTCAACCTCATGCTAGGTCGCACCCCTGAGAAATCGTATTTTTCAATGTCTTCCCACTTTTTCGAAAAACCCAAACCAACCATACGCACAATAAAGTGGTTTCTGACCATTCAATGTCGCACCCCTCAATATGTCACAGTTCGTGTTACCTACTCACTTTTTTCATTGATCAATGTTCAAGACGGCCATTAACCAACGAACGTGCGATGTCAAACTCAGCCAATAGCGTTTCACTTGATGTGGTGCGAACATGACACTATTCACTGATTGAACAATCCTTGTTGGCAAGACACGCCGATGCCAAAAATCGTAGACAGTGTCACTTGACTTCAAAATGTGTTAGCACGTATCGATCTGAATGTGTTGGACATGCTGAATTCGGTAGGTGTGGCAATATTCTCCAATGTCAAATTAGCACGTCTACCCTCGAACTGTCATTCCATGTTACAACCGATGGATCAGGTGTAATATGATATTTGGAATGTCTGAATATACCATCCATACCCATTGTGAGAAAACACAAAGTAGTGAACAAGCTCATTTTTGTGATGCTCCTTCTACAGGCTAACACATCACAATTTATATCAAAAAATTTAGAAGGTCGGGAGCGGGAAATCATGACCAGCTGGAAAAGAAATAATCAACGTACCAGTTCCATGACCGGATGATGTCACTCACACTTTGGTCCTCACACATGCGCCCACTGGTTCGGGTTATTAGGGGTGGCTGGGGAGATGGTTGTGTCGTCGCCAATAATGTTAGGACCGAATTCCAACCGCCACGCTATGCACCGTAATTTAGGGGCCCGTAAACCAACGCAGAAAATCAGAACACACAGACGGCGTGCGGCTCGGAATCGGGTTAACGATTTAATGAAT